ACCCCGAAGGTCAGTGGCTAGCTAGCTAGCTAGCTAGCTGGCTGGCTGGCTAGCTGGCTGGCTGGCTAGCTGGCTAGCTGGCTAGCTGGCTGGCTAGCTAGCTGGCTAGCTGGCTAGCTGGGTAGCTAGTTGGCTAGCTAGCTGGATAGCTGGAGAGCTAGCTAGGTAGCTAGTTGGCTAGCCAGTTGGCTAGCTAGTTGGCTAGGTAGATGGCTAGCTGGCTGGGTAGCGGGATAGCTGGCTAGCTAGCCAGCTAGTCACTGTGCAATCAGGTAGACTGAGTGGCTAGCTAGCTAGCTGAATGGCTGGCTAGCTAGCTAGCTAGCTAGCTAGCTAGCTAGGCACTGTGCTGCCAGCCAGCCTGGCTGGCTAGCTAGCTAGCTGAAGGGCCACAGACCCACACTGCTGTCCCCAGGCTCTAGGGTTTAGAGTCCAGGATTTAGGGTTTAGGGCGTAGGGTTTAGGGTTTAGGGTTTAGGGTTTAGGGTTGCTGCTGCAGGGGAGCTGCCGCTGAAGGAGCCAATTCGCTGCGTGCGGCTGCTGGCGGGTTTTGGATTTAATGAACCTGGAAACCCTCACCACGACATTTGCAGGTAACCCTAAACCCTAAACCCTAATTCCTAAACACTAATTCCTAAACCCTAAACCCTAGGTCGTAGTCCCTAAGTGCGAGCGCGCGGCGGAGCCTTCCCAGAGGCGAAGTAGCTCCTACGGCTTCGGGTTCAGTCGTTACGGTTTAGGGTTTAGGGTTTAGGGTTTAGGGTTTAGGGTTTAGGGTTTGCATGCAGGTCTTGGACGGAAGCAGCTGCAGCAGGGCTGAAGGAGCCCGTAAGTGCTGCTGCTCTCTTTGGGGCTGCATGCGTTTTGCTGCTGCTGCTGCTGCTGGAGGCTTTGGCCCGTTTCCTTTGCTGCAGAGACCGCCAGAAGCAGGCAGCTAGATCTGCAGCAGATCGCCAGCTAGCTAGCTAGCTAGCTAGCTAGCTGGATAGCTGGCTAGCTATTTAGCTAGCTAGCTAGCGCATGCGGCTGGCAGCCTGCTGGCTTTCCAGGGCGGTAGTTAGGTGGCCATCTAGCTAGCTAGCTAGCTAGCTAGCTAGCTAGCTAGCCGTCTCTGTATGTAGGCAGCTAGCAAGCTAGCTAGCTAGCTAGCTAGCCAAATAGTTCTTTTGTTTTCATCACAACTGGCAGGTCTATTTGTAGAGCCCTTCTGTTCTCAGAGCTCGTAGAGCTGTGGATCCCACAGCTAGCTGATGCCCAGCTAGCTAGCTAGCTAGCCAGCTAGCTAGCTAGCCAGATAGCTGGCTAGCTGGCTGGCTGGCTAGCTAGCTGGCTAGCTGCGGCCAGGGGCTGGCTTGGAGCCTCCGAAGGCCCTGAGGGCTGCGGGGGAATTTGGCCGGAAAGGCCCCTCACGGGTTCAGGGTCACCTGGTCACTTTGTGGTTTTGGGGTCTTTCTGGCCCTTTTTTGGTCCTTTTCTCCGCATTTTTTATCTCTTCAACTCAAATTTAATTTTATTTGGTTTTATTCAATCCATTTTGGCGTTTTCCCAGCCTTCTTAGCACTTTTTGGCACCAATTCACGTCTTCTGATCCCTGCGGGCCGGCGTGCACGCTTTCTTCGACCTTTTCCTCATTTTTAAATCTGTCTTTGCGTTTTTTGACTTATTTTTAATTCTTTTGTTTTCCTTTTAATTATATTTAACTTTAATTGTCCTTTATCGTCCTTAAAATTCCGAAATTTGGAGTGTGGGTGTGGCAGCAGAGCTGCAGCAGCAACTGCAGCAGGAGCTGCAGCAGGAGCTGCAGCAGCAGCGAGACGGCGGTCAGAGAAGCCCCGAGTTAATTGATTTGCTGCTTTTGTTTGGCCATTTGAATTATAAAATGAATTTAGTTTTCAAAATTAAATATATTTTCCGAATGTAATTTCAATTTCATTCATTTCGGCTGCAGCGCTGCAGCAGGGCTCGCCGTAGGAAGCCGGCGTGCATGCAGCGTGGCTGGGTGTGCAACCCTAAACCCTAAACCCTAAACCCTAAACCCTTAACCCCAAACCCCAATCCCCGACTGCGAAACCCTAAGCTCTAAACGCTAAACCCTATTCTAGAGGTTCATCCTTCCTCATCGGCCTCTAAACCGCGCCGCGGGGGACGAGATGCAGCGGCCGCCATTAGGGTTTATGAAAAAGAATTAAAAAAGAATGCAGAATGCTTCAAACCCTAAACCCTCAAACCTTGGGGCCCCCCGCGGGGGCCCCCAGGGGCCCCCGCAACGTCTTGGCCAGGTGTGCTATTTCGAGGGCTTACGGTTTAGGCTTTAGGGTTTAGGACTTGGCGTTTAGTGGTTGCCTTTAGCTGAATTTAGGGCTTAGGGTTTAGGGTTTACAGTTTGAGGACTAGGGTTTAGGGTTTAGTCTTTAGGTTCTAGATGCTGGGGCTTCGGGCTTGGGGTTGGAGCTAAACGTCAAGTGGTTTCGAACACGTATCGCTGCGTTTGCCTAAACCCTAAACCCTAAACCCTAA